ACAATTACATATAAGGGAAGCAACTTTTCATGTCCTAAGATAACCTTTCATTAATTATGAATTTACATAACATCCGTACAGGGGACGGCATTCCAACTAGTTATAAATAAACCTGTAAACTAGTGGAGAATATATCTATTCTTGATAGGGCAGCATTATCAATGCTATTTGTTTTTACAAATTTCAGTCTCAAACTGTTATATTATGCACTTGCTCACACATGATTTAAAGAGAGTTAATTGCACTTCGTAAGAACAATTCGCATATGGTAATTCAGTGGAGCGTCGCCACACATGCGAGATCTGATGCTATGGGTGACACGTTTAGTAGCTTATATATTTGGCTTAGGCGAATTCCCGATCATTCAACAGTACAGTATCTCAACACGTAGATTTATGGCTGTAGGATATTGCCATATCCACATTTGACGAAGGAAATTCGTATAGCAAGATGGTTAAATTGTATACAGGCAAAGGATATAACATGTGGAAGAAGAAGAATGCCTTCATCGTTTCATGGAAGCGCAAAAATTCGCAGTGGAACATTTATGACGACACATGCTTCGAAACCATTCCCTGTGTTAATTAATCTGGAACAAAACTACATGTCATCAAAATGAAAGATTACGAAAGAGAATCTTCCAAACTAAAAATAAAGCCGCTTATATGAAGCTAGGAATATCGCCTGGTATCACTTATCAAGATAATAAACAAGGATTTAAAGTTGTTGTAGAATTACATGGTAAGTTTTTAAAAAGCTTCCAGTCTAACCTCGAAATCAATGGCTATTTTCATGAAAAAGATGACCAAAGAAAGCAGAATCAATCACCGATATTATTGGCCTCGCATACCTGTCAAGTCCACTCCCCCCCCCCCGATACAAGTCTAATTACTTTTGTGACTTTGGGCTGCTAAAAGAATGCTCTTAGAAGTTAATATCTACGTCAGTTGGAGGGTTTGTGGCAAGTTTAAGATGTGTGATCTGAGACTGACTTTGCCGTCCTTCGAATAAACTTGTTGCAATGGAAATGGCAGTGTCGGGAAATGGTACATAATAATGGTCGTTACCCTAAATAAGAATCCATAAGGAAAGAAATAGTTTCAAAAGCACCACGGGATGTGGAACATCGGTCTTATGAGGTGCGATTAATTCGCTACATTCTAGCATAGATTTAATCTAAATGAGACTTTATTTTGTACTTAATCTGGTATTTGATATTTTCAATCTGAATGGCACGTTATTTCGCACTTGGGCCAAACTATCAGACCAGAGATCTCAAAGATGCAGGCATAGCTGTTTCTAATTCTGAATTGTCGGCAGTATCCACCGCCTACTTGACTGCCACTTTTATAACGCGCTTAAAGCTGAAAGTGCGTAACGTGTTCAACTGTATATTGCGGTCTTGAACATCAGACACTCCGATCTTTAAGTCAGCATGCTAACCTTAGGTCATGCCCTGTTCTGTACTTGATCTAAAACTTTAATGTAACAGAGTTTCCAGTGTTTTTACTTCATAAAATTTGACTTTTTTTAAATAATTTATCATCATAAATATAAATCAGTTTAGATCAAAAGAAAAAAAATCTTTCAAGTGCTTCAGCTTGTTTCAACTAAAGTTGTTTTCTTTCTAGCCCAACTCGGACCCCATCACCTACTCTACAAAATACTAATGACTGGAGAGAGCCTTTCACTATTCCAACTCATTTCTTCCCGCCATGTCTGAGAAAGGCTTTAGATGATAAACTGCCTCTAAGTCGATGTAATAAAGGCCACCTACTTGAAGCCATCTACCAGGAAATAGTCAGACACACTTTGTAAGAACTCTACACGGTCTTTATGTTCTAATTGTTGTATGAAGTAATTGTATTTGTTAGTTTGTAGTTAAGCATAAAGCTAACAATGGACTGTCTGTGCTGTACCCACCATGAGTATCGAAGCCCGGTATTTAGCGTTATAAGTCTTCAGACTTACCGCTGAGCCACTTGAGGGGGTATATCAAGTAATACTGAAAGATTTAATGGGAGTTGAAGTTTCTCGTGTATATATATATGCATAGAATGATTGAAGTTTGATTTGTGTATGTGTGCCACTTGCATTTTGCAACCAGCTGATGAATAGTGGCAAACTGGCGTATCATGTACGTGTTCATGCATGATGTATTTCAACCACAAACTCTAGGTAACTGTAGTGTCTACAATAGATTGGGTACATTACTTACGACCTTCGAATAAAGCAACATAAGTCCCCGAGTCAGTAGTAGTGAGATGTTTTTAACGTTAAAAAAATAACAACTATTAAATTTTTCAACATGAAGTGAACATGTTTAGTCGTATGTTCGTTGAAAATGCATATTTGTATACTAAATCATAATAAGCACAAAATATGTATACGGTGCTTATACTTTACTGGTTACACAGTTAAAGTTACAGACGCAAGACTGAAATATTTATTGTTTATTTGATTGTCTCCCTTTGGGTCAGCGGTAAATTCACGGATTTCCAACGCTAAAATCTGGGGTTCGATTCACCTCTGTATACAGAGCAAAGATAGCCCACTGGGTAGCTTTGCGCTAAAACAATAACGAAATTTTAGTCGTTGTGGGATATGTTTGAAATTATTTCATGTATTTTTAAGCGTTTGTGTGTGTGTGTGGGGGGAGTTTAATATTCGGTACATCGAAATACGAGAAAAAAATATCACGTTTGTTTGTATGGAAAGTTATTTTCATTATGCTGGTTCTTACGAAATCTGTGACGTTCCATGTACATGCTCTCAAACCCAATGAGGGTCTTTTTAACCAATTCGTTGAGTGTGTATGAAAAAAAACAACAACAAAGGATGGAATAATAAGTCGGACGAAAAACAAATCTAGATGTTTGTGGAAGTTGAACGCGTTCATTTTCTTGCTAGGATCTTATTCCTACTATCCAAGCTGAGCAACTCAACTTTTGGAGTATTTTCGATAAAACGTAGGTTGTAATTGAACAACTCTATTTTAAGACATATAAATATGCTAAGCACTTTTTAAATTTTCTAGTTTTTGACCAAATAATTGAAAATTTTAGCGTTTATTAAACATTCTGTGTTAAAAATCTGATTGAGTAAGGTTTTCTTGTTTGGTTGTTACTAACCACAAAGCTACACAATTAGTTAGCTGTGTTGTATTCACCAGTGTTTAGCATTATAAGTCGTCAAATTTATCGCTGAGCAAATGCGTGCTATTGAGGAAGGCCCCTGTCATCCGCCCAAGAAGGCAGGACTGATTGACAGATATATCTGAAATTGTAATACGATTTTTGTTAGGCATAGCTGCCAATTAAACATTTAATATTTTAAAACAGCGGCTAATACTTGTCATTCCTTTGTTAGGAAGCCATTTAGCTACAAGTGAAACAGTGAATGGCTTTCAGTTTTCATTTCAGATTCATGAGTCGTCTATACAAATACGCTTGTAGTGATCTCTCAGTGGGTTGGCGGTAAGTTTAGGAACTGCAACGTTATACTTCGTGTTTCGACTCTGTGTGATGGACAATTGTGTAGCTTTACGCGGAAGAAAACTCGTAAAACTTGCTTGTGGTGACTGTTAAGCCACTTATATTAAGAACATAATACATGTACCAATTGAAAAATATGTTACATATGGAATCTTTGATCAGAATCGATCACAAGCTGTATCCAATTTGTAGCACCTGCTAACATACCCTCGTTTCACGGGAAATGTTCAGAAACACTGAAAAGTGAAATGTCAAAAAGTATTTCCGCACGTTTTTCCAAAATAAGGTTATAAATGTTAACGAAAACAAATTTTATAAAATTGAATAAAGTTGTTTAAATATTGTGTGACAACAAGTAAAAGCTTGGAATGATCTATTCTTTCATTGGGGTGTGTCTGTGAGTCATTCTTGACGGATTTCGTAAACGTGTATATCACGACTCGCACTGCAGTGTATCCAGAGACGCTTTTTCCAAGGTATAGCTGGTTGTGCTTCTCCAGTTTTTCTATTCATTAATAAACTCCAGCCTATAGATTATTAAACCATGAATTTGATCAAAGAAAGTTCACCGATTTAAAGTAAACACCTAACCGCAAACATCTCGCACCTTTCAGCTGTGTTTATTATAATTGGACAAAAATACCCTTTATTTTCGAATTTTGTGTTTGTATGATACACCAGCGTATCTCAATACACGTACATACGCGGGGGGGGGGGGTTCCGAGGGGGTTCAGCCTAACCCCCTATTTTTTGTGGTGTTAACAAATTATGTTTATATAGTTATAGCACGGTTGCTTTTGGTATTCCCCGTTTTATACATAGTATACATTCTTCTGATGAAGCATTAGCATTTTTTTTGGCTTGAAATAGTCTCATGCAATGGCTTCTGTTGACACTTTGTAACTGGAAGCCCGAAGCCGCTTCGCATAATGTGTTGGCTTTTGATCTCACAAATTAGAACCCCCCCTTTCAAACATTCTGCGTACGGAGCTCTAGTATCCCTTAATTTTATACATTTTATTTAGTGTGGTTTTATTAATACTCTGTACTGTTTGCTTATCTATATTTATGACGTCCTATGATTAATTATGTTTGTTACTATTGTTTTCTTTCTTTTGATTAGGCTAATTATATAATGATGAATTATAGACACTTGTTAACAAATGACTAAACCACCATTTTTGTAAGTGTTATTATTTTAATCTCTACGTCCTTCACTTTGAAAAGTATGTTTTATTTTTAGTTATCCAACATACACACAGTATCAAGAGATAGTGGAGAAGTTATTACGAGCGTACCCACATTTAAAAGGAGATATGAGACATTCAGAAGCAGTGGTGAGTGACACATTAAAAAATTTTTTCTTAAATTTTACCTAAATAAGTTTCTAAATGTTATCGAAAACAGAGTTTTACACAATTGCTGCTAAATTAGAAACGTTTTTAAAGGATAGTTATATCAATGTTTCAAATGTGATCTAGCATGTCCAAAAACAGAGAGATATTTAATTTTTGTTCGTAAAGACAGATTTAGTAGATAGTGTGTTTGAATTGCGAATTCATGGGTTCATGGTTCGCGTTCCATTGCTTCAAAAATGTACCAAATCACACTATTTGGTGAGATAAGAGGAGCATCAAGAGTTGACGGTGGGTGCTGTTGACTAGCTGCCTAATCTCTAATCTATCAGTTCAAAATTAGGGACGGCTAGGCAGATATTTATGTAACTTTGCGTAAAAATTCTAAAAGCAAACAGACAAACTGTAAAAACGGTATTATGACCATGATTTCGTTTTTAGAAGTTGTGTCTAATTACGAAAAAATTACAAACTTCAGCTTTATTTTCCCGAAAGGGAGCCGAAGGCTGCCTGGAGGGGTTACCTGTTTTAACTGCGCACGATTATACAGTAGTGTGTTGTCTGTCAGTCAGTCGGTTGACACTAAAATGATGTCACATAATAGACGCTTAACGTTGCAATTTGTATTGTTTAAAACGTGCGCATGCCATGAGTCACGACAAGAATTATTCAGTCTGTAAGCTACAACACAGCATGACATATGAACTTCAAAACAAGAAATAAAAACATTTGTTACTCATAATTTTGGTTTTATTTACTCTTGAAACAGAACACTTTCGGGGACCGAGCGCAAGTTCATCTAGTATATTTATTTATTTATGTGCACGATGAAATTTATATATGTCTAAACTCAAACGAAACACTCGTATATCTACTTATGTTTACCCTAAAATTACGGATGCAGGTTTTTAAATAACCTTTTATGAACTATTTTATGCACCAAATTGCTTGTGAATACATGGCTTTGTTGGTTACAGGATTTCTAATGTGTAATAATGTAAGAGTCAACCGAGAAAGGTAAAGAAAAATACCGTCAATACTGCAGTAGTTAATGCACTGTATATATATACACACACAGATATAATATGGGTTTTTATGTATTTTACATAGAAGGTCAGGGATTTCACCAAATTAATTTTGGGCCAGTTCCCTGAAGTGAGTATTTGACAGACAAAAATATAAATTTACTAAAAATGATGCTCTCTGTGGACCCCCAACAGAAGGGAATGGCATTTAAAGAAGTCGACAACTTAAGGATTGTTGCTGTTTTGAGTGCGAAGCTACACAATGGGTTATCTGCGGGGAATCGAAACTCGGATTTTGTCGGGTTACGTCAGTAAACTTATCGCTGACCAACCAGATGACGTAAACATAAGATATTCTTCATTAAACTTTAAAATATATGCAAGTTTGATTGCTCGATACCTGAAATATATACTTATATTTTACCGCCAGGTGTACTGGAGAAAAACGCTTTCGCACAAAATGAGAAACAGGAGAAAACGAATGGATGGTGACATTCCAGAAGAAGTCTTGAGGAGGCGGACAAGAAAGTGGCTGATGTGTAATTCTGATGATGGACCATTCATTCTACCTTGTGATGATAACAGTGTTGATGTTAAACCTTTACATCAGGTTGTCACAACTCAGGCAATTAACCATAATGATTATTAATTGGTGATGTTAGTTTATAAGATTCAGTGTTAATGCTTATTCCAGGATTTCCATTCCTTTTTTGGTGAGCAAATGATACATACTTTGAACTAGTAACCAGGAATTTACTTCTCCCTGATAGCCAAAAACAAACATACAACAACTTTCAATATGTTAAAACCTAAATGTAATGACACAAATCACAAGTGCGAATTTTATATGTTTATGGAAGACTGATGCTAATTTGGCAGTCCTGTTTTTCTCGGTATAAATACGTGGGTGTGTACAGTTATAGCTGTGTAGGTTTTAATGTAAAGGCTTTTGTCTTACAAAAATTATTTAGACTTCAATTTTTTAAATAACAAAATATGATGTACAGGATTGGGAGAAGAGAAAAAAAAGGGGGTTTGGTTGGAGTCACTATTAAATTTGATTTAATGGTAATAGTTCTGAATTCATACAATGCGTTGTTATTGATTTTTACTTGCAAATCATTAGATACTTTATTTTGAAATAAAACAAATTATAGTAAACTGTAGTCAAAAAGGTTGCAAGACATTACGAAATACACTGCCTATATTTGAAAGTTTTACATCATAACTGTTTTACTAGACGAAACTGTGCAGTTTACTAATTAGAAGTTTCCTATAATAGCTGATAGGAAACTGGAAGTGGCCAGAAAGACAGAGTCATTACTTTAAACAAGAAACAATAATTGCAGCTTGTAATAAGATGCAACATAAATAACAAAAGTTATTTATATAGACTGTTATTATTCCCCTCTGCGTGTATGAAGTAAGATATTAAACTTTGTTCTTGTTGGATGTTTCAAAAAGAGATAACCCTAAACCAAAGCAATTCCAGAAGGTGGATCTTTCTTCTTGAGGGACACCAATGTTGTTGCAGGTTTCTCCTCTCAGTTAAATCAGTTTTGACATATTGAGCTCTATGAAACAAGTCATTTCATCATTTAATGCGTAATGTTTAAAAGACTGGAGAAAAGAACATGAAAAATATTAATTATATTTTAATTTTTCCAAACTTACCAGTCGGTTAAACAAAAGGGCAAGTCGATATGTATAGGTGTGTGTATGTGTATTTTTTGCACTGAACTGTGGCATTGTGGCAGAGGTTTATGAGTTAAGGGGTGCAATAAATGGTCTTCCAAATCAAAATAATCAAACTTAAAATAACTATAAACTAAAAAGTTTGTTCACATTTATTCAGGCCATGAATGAAGTGCATACAGAGACCAATTACATTTTCTAATTCTTTACGTATGTCAGAAAAAACAAACAAACAAAACATACAGGCGAAGGCAAAAGCTGATAAAAGAAATGTATTAGGAGTTGTTTTGTTTCGATTATTTGAATAACTCTAATTATATGGTGTATAATGTTTACACTGGCGAAGAATGGCCCGTTAAATCGCAATGGCTGTGCCATCACATCACAACGAGATTCATTATAATTGTAATCACATCGATCTTTACGAGCCCACGACGGGTTTATAGTTAGATGAATACATATATAAATAGTTAAATAAATGAACACAGAGTCATAACTGATATCAAGAACTAATATCACTTGCTTGATCACTACCATCTTGATCCCAGGTTAACAGATATGAATTATTATAAATTATTTCCTATAGCCAAGAAAGTTACACTAACATTAGGGTTTTTTTTTTCTTTTTTAATATTCAATAAACCTGAATTATTATATTTCATACACAGTATATTGTTCCAAGCCAGCTGTAACAGATAAAACCTGAGTCATAAATGTGATTTGTTTCAATGTAAATAAAATGCTCTTTTTTTGTTGGTCTGAAACGTTGAGTTTGTTTTCTACCTATACTCACACACAGCCAATTTCCACCTGTTTTGTTTTTGCCTGGCATTACCATGTACCTGACAGTACCAAAGCACATGAGTCTTCAGAGGTATTACACTTCCGGAATCAGCATCCTTAAAGGAGGACAATTATCTAACACTTTGATCTTTCCGTCACTTTGATCTTTCCGTCTTAGAATAAAGTGCTTATTGACGTGACTCACGAGTTTAGAGGTGCTGTTTGTTTTAGTGAATCAGAAGTTTACAAAATAAACTACTTGAAGTTACACAAAACAAAGTGCCGAGAATCACAGAGATTCATATGAAGAAAAGTCACTTATTTTGAATAAATAGTTGTTTAAACATTTCTTTAACAACAAGCAAAAGCTTGGAATGGTGTATTCTTTCATTGGGGATGTGTCTGTGAGCCAGGCTGGTTTCGGAGAATTCCACTCCTCATCAGTGACCCTGGACACTACCACCAATCAAATTAAAACACTTAAATACACCAGTCACTTATTTTATATTACAAACCGAGGTTTTCTTATTTAAACCAGAGAATATTTCAGAAGAATGCGAAAAAATCACGTGCGTGTGTAAAATTCGACAAAATACATTTAAAAGTTACGAAAAACAAACAAAATTGGACTTTTTTTTTACTGTTTAAAATTACTTCCAAACGAAAAAAATTTTTTTTAAAGCTTAGCAAGAATGTTAATGTATAGGAAGTCAATCATAATATTGGATTACCTTAAAATCCACACAAATAATTTAGTCACTACCGAACAACGCCCAACACAAACTGCATACGAGTGAGTTATAAGTCTCATGAAAATTGTGCAGAGAAAAAGGCTAAGGAGAAGGTTAGAATTATATTTTTAACAGGTTACAGACACCTATAAAAACTCGAGCATTTTCTAAGTATAGCTATAAGGTAGTTATGGAAAATGTTACTTATTTTTTGATTGTTTTAGAATTTTTGTGTAAAGTCACACAAGGGCTATCTGCTCACATCCGTTCCTAAATTTTGTACTGATAGACTAAATATAAGCAGCTAGTCAACAGCACCCATCGCTAACACTTGGGTTTTTCTTGTTTGATTGAAAAGTGGGATTTGACTGCAAATTCACACAAGAGCTATCTGCTCACAGCTGTCGTTAGTTTTGAAATGATAGACAATAGGGAATAAAGCTTGCTTATAGCACCCACCGAAAACTCTTGGGCTATAATTCTGTGACCGTTATTCTTACAGAGCACCCAAGACTCCAAAGTGCGAAGGGCGTTTTTGTATCATCGGATTCACAGTCCGAGCATGCTAACCACTAGGCCACGTCCTGCCCGAAAATTTTTTAAAGAAAATCTCAAAAATATATTTGAGCCAATGTTTGTCGTGTTCGTGTGAAAGACAGCTACAAGAATAGCAACAGGGTGTTTAATCTTTTTACACTGGTGAATGAAAACAATATATTGTCCTACATAGTATTACTAGAATAATGAAAATATTGACCTGTGAACGGCTGTAATAGGGCAACAACAAACACGTGGGTCAGTCGACAGTGCACATAAACTTTAAACTGAATATTCAAATTATGAATTAAACATTACATTTCAATAAGCTTCTCTATTTAAAAAAAAAAATCAAGAAATATGGTCATTTACAGATGGAACACAATAACTGTGTTTAAGCGAAATCAACGCCAGCCACACCCATCAGTTGCTATGGTTACTTTACACGTCTCGTTCAGGTTTAGATTGTGCGGTGATAAATGTTGTTGTCTTAAGTCTCTGTGTAAATAAATTTACGTAAAACTGGCCATGTAGATTTAAAATTGTTGTGTAAACTTTTTGAAATATATTGATTCATTCAATTACTCATTATGAAAGCTAAAAAAATAACTTTTTTCCTTACCTCATCATACATAAACTGTAAAGTCAAAGCGGACTTTCCCACACCTCCACTTCCCACCATGATAACTTTGTGAAGAGCCGGCTGACTGTTTTTAGGCTTTCCCATTGAGGCCCCATCAATGTTGGGTCTTTTGGTGCTACACGTACTTCCAGAAAAACAACGTAGTATTGTTGTCATTCTCCGTAAAGGCCGCTATCAATTCCGAAAAACAAAAATATCTGATAAGGACACTACGACATTACACCCATGGAGTGAAATTCTGCAACACAGCTTTAAAGCAGAAGTAAACACGTACAATTGTAAATTCTCTCTCGCTTGAGTGCGTTGCCAAACAGTCGTAAACACAATTACTATAGCGTTTCAAACGAAGAAGGTGGTTTAAGAAATACAGATTAGCGAGTGAAAGAAAGCTGTTGTAATATAATCTACCACGAAGAGGCTTATTGAGAGTTCTTTTGTTGTTTTTTAAAGATTGACGTGAACGATACAACTCTACTTCTCAGTCTGACAAGCCCCGAAGAAATGACTCACACTATCGAGAGAGTAGTCAAACAACTACAGCCGTCTGCTAGTATATGCCTATGCGCATGTGGCGCTAGGTGGAGAAATCTTTTGCTGATTTTGTAATACTATGCTAGACAGCAAACGTGAAGCAGTTATTCCCTTCTTTTTACTGAAGTATTTTTCCACGCACTTTTAATGCTGGTAATCAATAATATACATGCTTATACGTATAAATATATTCCAAGTTGATTTTGGAGAGAAATATGCTTTAAAAAGTATTACGTAATTTTTAGTAAAAAACAACAAAGAAACAAACACCTTTTGACCCTTAGCTCCTAGCTACAACTTACAATTATGTGGAACTGTTCTTGTGAATCGTGGTGAACAATAAAAATGAAATGTATAAATTTAAGAATCGCGGTCGTAATAATTTTCGAACATATTTATGATTTTTATTATTCAGTTTTTGCTTAGGTTTGCAAGGATCTAAAATTAAAAGCTCAGCTCGTTTTAATTTTCGTTTGTGAGCCCTGCTTTATACAGGTGAAATAAACATGCACTAGTTATTCTGTGAACATTGAAAAAAAAAAAATAAAGAAAGAAAGTGCTCCACCCGTCCGGTTGTCCAGGTGTAAGTCTGAAGGCTTATAATGCTGAAATTTGGGGTTTGATATCTGGAGTGGGCACAACACAGATAGCCTATTGTGTAACTTTATGCTTAAACAATTTAAATTGTTTTCCTGTGAATTTGTTTCTGAAAGCCTTAAATACTTAGAAAATGATAATTAAATCTCGTACTTTACTTTTATATTGTATATATTTAAAATACCACCAGCAGGTTTGAATAATCGTATATTTCTATTTTTATTGTGGTTTTTGGTTTGTAGCATTTTCGCGGGCCTGGCTTAGCTTGGCGGTTAGGACACCCAACTCACAATCTACGGGTCGTTGGTTTGAATCCCGTCACTAAACATCCTTGCCCAATCCAATTTGTCAGTTATTTTAGTTTAAAAACTTTCAAGCCTCTTCGGGGCTTGAAAGATAACCAGGGGCGGTCAGAAACGTTCGTTTCTCTTCGCCCCTCTCGCAAAAAAAAATAAAAAATTATTCAGCTTTAACGTGGAGAGTAAGAAATTTTGTAACATCCTCGCCCTTTCAGACATGGAGCCTTATAATGTGACAATCACTCAAGCAGCTCAAGAGTTGGCTGTAGTTGGCGTTGATTAGCTGACTACCCTCTAATCTATTACTTCAAAATTATGGCCCAGCATGGCCAGGTGGTTAGGGCGCTCGACTAAAAATCTGAGGGTTGCTGGTTCGAATCCCCGTCACACTAAACATGCTCGCCCTTTCAACCGTGGGGGCGTTATAATGTGATGGTCAATCCCACCATTTTTTGGTAAAAGAGTAGCCCAAGAGTTGGCGGTGGGTGGTGATGACTAGCTGCCTTCCCTCTTGTCTTACACTGCTAAATTAGGGACGGCTAGCGCAGATAGCCCTCGTGTAGCTTTGCGTGAAATTCAAACAAACAAACAACATGCTAAATTGATGATGCTTCATGTCTTATAGTAGGACTGGTCCTCTTATAGTAGGACTGGTCCTCTACCTTTCGTCTTAATATGAAAGTTGGCATAGACACATGATTTCTCTTTTTTTATGTGCAAATTTACACAGTGTGCTATCTGCGCTATGGCCACTACGGGTATTGAATCCCGACTTTTAGCGTTATAAGCCCTCGAGCTTTACCACTGAAACCACCGGCAGCTACATATAGCTAATGAATTGTTTTGTTTTTTTTCCTTGTTGAATCGTGTAAGATATGAAATTATTTCTGTGTGTACAGTCTCCTGGTGGATGTTTATCTCAGATATTTGACAAACAAAGTTTGCCATTGCAGGCCATTTTCCCTTCCCACTGCCTAAAGGAACAGTTCTTCTACTTGCAAAAACACGGGGTATCAGCTTGACACAAAGACCGATTATCCTAAGCTAACAATACCAGATGATGACAGAAAACAAAAAACACTTACATCTCTCTTTCCGTGGAATAACAGGAAAACTGGTAATTTTGCTATTAACTGTAAAATAAAATGATTGTATATAAGTGAAGTAAACAGGCTTACACGAGTGTTAGCAACACTAAACAGTTGCCATGGTTACTGTTCATGTCAAAAAGTGTAGGTGAGTACAGTTACTCTAAACTTGTCATGTAGCCATCTATAGTTGTGTCAAGCCTGTGTGTATTAATTAACCTAATGCACCAGGATGTGTGGATGGTATATTACAAAACTATGTAATATTATATCAAGTATGTGTGAATAATTTACCACGATAGCGTGTAGCTGTATATATATTGTTGTGTAACGTATGTGTGAATAAATTACTATGTCGCTACTTAATGTCGTGCCAAGATGTGTGTGGAAATGTCGCGAATCTATGAAATAGAAGACTTAATACATATGAATGAATTGTGGTACGTGATTTGTGATATATGTTTGAAGAAATTACCACGTAGTTATTTTATTACGTGCCAAGATCTGTAGATGAATTACCACGTAGTTATGTCATGTATCAAGTATGTGTAAAGGAATTACCACGTAACTGTGTAATTTATCAAGTATGTGTAAAGGAATTATAGCATAACTACGTAACCTGTCAAGATGTGTGAATGAGTCATCACGTAGCTACATACTGTGTCAAGATGTGGAATGAGATACCAAGCAGCTACGTACTGTGTCAAGATGTGTGAATGAGGTACCACGTGGCTACGTACTTTGTCAAGATGTGTGAATGAGGTACTACGTGGCTACGTACTGTGTCAATATGTGTGAATGAAGTACCACGTGACCACATACTGTGTCAAGATGTGTAAATGAGTCACCAAGTAGCTACGTACTGTGTCAAGATGTGGAATGAGATACCAAGCAGCTACGTACTGTGTCAAGATGTGTGAATGAGGTACCACGTGGCCACATACTGTGTCAAGATGTGTGAATGAGTCACCACGTAGCTACGTACAGTAACACCACTTGTTAAGAAATATAAAAGGCTAAAAAGGGAATCCTAAAATTCACTGCCAATTCAATTCACCTTTATGTTGCTTCTTAATGCACCGCGCGCGAGCACGCGCACAAGTTACCTAGCTTAATGATACAACAGGTATTTACAAAGATAGAATAAACTTACCCACGATTGAATAAATCATATAATCCATGATGTTAATTTGCTTGCACCTGTAGAATTGTTTTACAGTATTTAAGCTTAATTTGCAGTGCTTTCTCTGTATAATGTTTTAGTTCAAAACATTTCCAATCTGTGATGATAATTCAATGTGTAGACCAAATGTGCTGGTTATTTTTTACATCTAAACGTACTGCATAAAAGGTATTATTAGAGGATGTTTGTTTTTTTTCTCAGGACATATTTGCAGACTTGGTCTAAGGAAATGTCTTGCATGTTTCTCAAATTGTCCAGTAGGGATGGCTAGTCATGATGTTTCTAATTCTTTTAGGGTTTATGTCACTGCCTAAGAATGGGGCGTTGTATATGTTAGTGACTTTTCTCCATTTCAAGGCAATTTGTATTCATTTTGCAGGGGCTCGATGTTGAATTGTCTTTAGACGCTGGTAGTTTGTTTATTTTTCTATTGAGATTGCCATATTGATTTGTGTGTTAGAAGTAAAAATTTAAAGGAGGAAATATTGTAAATAGAAGTATGTCTTACATATTCATAACTATGGGGAGCCAGCCCCTGGAAGTGGGGTAGGTGGTTGGTTGTTATGGAAGCTTTACAGCACACAGACTGGAATTCCCTTTTATAAACATCTATAACCAGTATCCATATTCCTCCAAAAAGTCACTCCAACCTTGTCTAAATCAGTCTGGATTCATAAGGTAAGAAATATATGTAAAAATTCTAGCAAAATAAGGTAACATCATCCAGTATAGTTATGGAATGGACCCTTGATGTTTAGCAAACATGTCTTTATCATCAAAAATTTTTAACGGTGAATGACGAAATACGTATGCATGTTACAGTTGAATAATAGCAGAAAATGTTTATAAATATGGAAATTCGCATGTATATTCAATTTTAAGGTGGTGATGTTGAACATAGGTGTATGTTGCTTTGATTGGGGACACACCTATCGATGGTATTTTCGCCCACGCTAACACCTTTTCTTTCCCTCTTAAAGCACTTAATTTAGGCCAGATTTTAGATAAAATCATTCATATCTTATGTATAAGCACCACTCTATAGTTTTAAAGTGTTGAAACACATACTGTTTAATGTCCATTTACAACTACTGGCAAACTAACATCCAGGAGCTTTATCTCACCTTTTTTTTTTTTGGTCCTGGCTTGGTGGTTAGGGCGTTCGACTCAAAATCTGCCGGTTCGAATCCCCGTCACCGAACATGATCGCACTTTCAGCCATGGGGGCATTATATTGTGACGACCAATCCCACTATTCGTTGGTAAAAGAGTTCCCCAAGAATTGGTTGTGTGTGATGTTGACTAGCTGCCTTTCCTCTAGTCTATCAGTGCAAAATTATGGACGGCTAGCGCAGTAAGCTCTCGAGTAGCTTTACGCGAAATTCATAACAAACCAAGCCAATCTCACATGTTGTGTCTCTGGATCCAGGTTGCTATCGTATGATAAGTTGGGCGCATGCGCTTGGTTGGTGCATTGTGGATTCTCGAAATATAGGCATCATACTTAACACGGTGCATTAATTCAATTTATCTTCTGGCAAGATACCAAGTTAATTATACTTGTCATAAAACGTTAGTATTAGGCCAATTATACATATTAACACCGCATTCTTTATCTAGTCCCTTAGGGGCTTTCAAGACTTAGAAGAGTGTATATTTATAGTATTCCAACCACAATATGTTCTCCATATCTATTGCCGGCTGCGACTCAGTGAACACAGTAATGATGGGAACATTATTCATATAAGCCATTTCTTACAGAAAAGGCGTTCACACCGTAACAAAGTACCAAATTGTTCAAATTGGTTACAGGAAGTTTGAACTTCATAA